TTTATTGCATTGTTATACCACATCATATTGTTGACATGATCTAACCGTTACACTCAATATTTACTCGTCCAGCTTAGACATTTCATTATAGTTTACCCTCGTTATTGGTTGATTTAGTATATGTAATTCTTACAATCTTCTTACTTAAACTTAAATTTAACGAAAAACAGATTAAAAATAACCTCCAGTTCTTTAATTAAATCTATACAAAATGAAGGAAATCTCAATTTTTATTCAAGCCAAAGGAGACTTAAATCTTCAATGATCAGATTTCACAATTTTTTAAAGATTTAATAGTCATATTCACACTACTTTAAATTTGAGTTTGTCATCTTTTAAATTTGAGTTTGTTTACTTTCAAATTGAGTTTGTCTATCGAAGTGATTTTTATTAAATATAACTTTTTATTCAAATGTTGACACAAATTTAAATAAAAATTTTGGGTCAAGAGATGGCCTTGCCATACCTTACTAGAGTAGCTCCAATATCTAAATGACTTACTTGGATTTTCTGGATTTGGGAGAAAATAGAAAATAGGTCTATGTGGTGTGTTTGAGATAGCTTTTTCAAAGTGCTTATTGGAATTATAACTTCTTAAGTACTTTAAAAAAAAAATTGTGTTTAGAATTGCTCCACCACAACCACTATCCCTACCAACCCCACTGCCTTACCATTATCATCACTACCACCACTGCGGTCACCCAACTAGCACAACTACCCTTACCACTACTAGCACCACCCCCACTGCCTCACCACCACCATTACCACCACTTCTATTGACACCGTCGTCGCTACACCACTATCACTATCATTGTCACCATCGCCGTTACACCACCTCTGTCACAACAACCACCACCACCACACCCACTATCCCAACACCACCATCATTACTACCACCACCCTACCACCGTTACCGTCACTCTACCACCATCCTTACCGGCCCACCACCATCACAACCACCACCATTATCACTTCACTACCACCTCTTCCACAACAACCACCATTACCGCCCCACCACCACCAACGCCGTCACCACCACCACTATCGCCACCACACCACCACAACACAACCACCACCATCCCCACCCTCCACCTCCACCGATGTATCCACCTTACCACCACCGTCACTATCCCACCATTACCCCTACCACCAACACCTTCATTGCCCCAACCACCACCATCACCATTACCACCCACAGTTGCCACCATCACAATCGATCGTTGTCACCCATTACAACTATCACCATCTCCCATCACTATTACCGTTCACTCCTACTATAACTGGTGCTTAAATTCATTTCTTTACCTATCTTATCCAATCAAATGTACTATTCCTTCTCGAATTTCGACCAAAACAATTAGGTAGGAAGTCGCGTAAAAAATCAGGTGAACACATATTTTTCAGTTATTAATTTTTGGATCATTTTAATAATTTAATTAAGTAACCTGCACCAATTAACTAACATAATAAACCAATAACACTAAAGAATAAATTCGATAATACATAAACAATTACAATAAAACACAACAAAAAAGCCATAAATATCAATACATCATATATAAGAAAGTCACAAACATCAATAAAATATTAAGGTTTCTAGATTTTTAGATTTCAATTCTTAGGAATTAACATATATATATGCATGCGGGTAGGTTAAAGTATGAATACAAAAATTTTGTAGGTATTCAACATTCTTAACCAATTTTTTTAAGAATATCAAAAAACTTCCGTTAGCCTATCCGATTCTTTCGGGTAGCCAATTAATAGAGTCGAGTAAGATAGGGCAGGTCGAAATTTGCGGGTAATCGAACATTTGAACACCCCTATCTATGGCCTTGTGTTATCTTTCTAGAAATTGCGCGACACTGTTGACATGGTGTAGTGATTACACCAAATATTTTTTCGTTGAGATGATAGTCAACAATTTTTTTCCCTATAAAAAGGGTGTGCTAAGTAGTTCAAAACAAAGTCCTCAAAGCCATTAAGAGAAAGAAGGAGAGGAGAGTCGAGAAAAGGGCAACCATGGGTGGTGAGAGGAGCAAGATTCTGGTATTTGGAGCCTCTGGTTATCTTGGCACATACATGGTCAAGGCCAATGCTTCCATGGGCCACCCAACTTACGCCTACGTCCGCCCTGTCAAACCCGGCTCCGATAATTCAAAGCTGGCCTTGCTCAAGGAATTTGAATCAAATGGGGGTCACCATTTTCCAAGTATTTCTCTCTCTCTCTGTCTGAGTTGTGCAAAAACTGTATGGTATTAATATGTGTTATTTCCATGTGTGACAGGGAGAATTGGATGATCATGAGATGCTTGTTTCAGTGCTTAAACAAGTAGATGTTGTGATTTCTACACTGGCTGTTCCTCAATACCTTGAACAACTCCACATAATAAGTGCCATTAAAGAGGCTGGCAATATCAAGGTTAGTTACTATCCATTGTCAAACATAATTTGAACGGGTTTATAACAAGTGATGAGGTGTAAACCCCTCAATTATAAGTTCAAAATTCGTTTGGCCGTAAAAAACTCGAGTTATGGTTGATTGTCTGTATTCAAGATCTGAGTTGCAAAAATGAGTTTAACCTGTCTTTTATTTGAAGTGATCAAATAAAAGACCAAGTGTAAACTCAGATTTCGAGTCCCCTTAGACCTTATAAAACCTGGGTTTAACCCCCACGGAATATGGGCATCCGCATCATCCAATGTTTTATGTCGCAGCCATGACTCTAAAACATGTATGGTTGAAACGATTCTCTAAGGGGGAAAAAAGTTTGAAACGTTTTCATGAATCTAACATAAGTTTTACGTCAGAGATTTGTGCCGTCGGAATTTGGGAACGAAGTGGATCGGGTTCGGGCCTTACCACCTTTCCAAGCTAATTTGGACAAGAAGATGAAAGTGAGAAGGGACACAGAAGCAGCTGGGATACCCTTCACTTTTGTGTCTGCAAACTCACTTGCTGCCTATTTCGTGGACTTTTTGCTTCACCCACACGACAAGGTTGGTGAGGTTACTCTATATGGAAGTGGTGAAGCCAAAGGTATGTTCTTCTTTTGCATCTTCTCTGCATATGGGATACCCTTTGGCCTATTGCTGAACTACCCTTTGGCCTATTTTCTTTTAGTTGAATGATTCATGTATCTCTTGGTCATCAGACAATCAACAAGTCTAATATCAAAAGTTGTAACAAAATAAAAGTAAAACTAGTACGGCAAGGACATTTTGTTACAATCAATATCCTTGAATTCTGTAAATCAAATTGACACTTACTAATGAGACTTGGTAAAACCAAACAAAAACTCGTTATTCTTTCGAAAATGATATAAATACCTAATCCAACCTGCTTTGAATGTTGTACTAGAGACATCTTGAAAGTGGCTATTGACAGAAATTATTTCTTAACTTTCGTATATTTCTGATTTTTTTTTAATTTTTTTACTCAATAAATTATGGCTATTGAAAGTCTCTGTTTTAATTATATGGGTATTAATTATATGGGTAATTTTACGATACCGATTTTTTTTTTGATATAGTATTGAAAAATTACTATTATTTTAGGTCAAGTTATATATTTTAAAGTGAAGTTACAACTGTTTAAAGTAACTTCACGATCAATTATGAATATCCCAGATTTGTTAAAATTTTAGCTTTAAAATATATAATTTGACCTAAAAAAATACTAACTTAACTTTTAGAAGTGGTAACTTTGATTGCTTTTTCAATTATAACGTCTTCCAAAAAAAAAAAAAAAGTGTTAACTTGATTAGATTACAGTTGCATGCCCTTTAGAATATTCTAAATAGAGGGTCCACAATTGCAATTCCATAAAATTATTTTTGGTATTGTATCTCTACTTTTCATCTAATAATATTTTAATACACATAAAATTATTCTTATTTTATTATTTTAAAAATTAATACCTACGAATCAATCAACCCAAAAATACACTGCTCTCATTCAACTTCGATATGATACCACTCCTTCCCTGTCTCTTAAGTGCAAGGAACTTTGTCTGGCAGCGGTGCTGAATTACGAGAAGGACGTAGCAGTCTACACTGTGAAAGCTGCTACGGATGCAAGGGTAGCCAACCGGGTCATTATCTATAGGCCCCACAAAAACATAGTCACCCAATTGGAGTTGGTTTCTTCCTGGGAGAAAAAGACTGGTCGTACTCTCAAGAGGACTCACATTCCTGAGGAAGAAATCATCAAGCACACAGAGAGTAAGAAATTCTCACCTCTTTCCATCTTTTATTTTTTTAAATACATTAAATCACTTTTTTTTTTTAGTTAAACAGATTAAAACAAATTATATTTCGACTCCCAGAGTTATACTTATCTTTTTTTTTATTCGATACACTGAATTATATCTTTCGTTTTATATTATCTACTTTTTCATGTTGCACATTAAACTATCGATATAAGTTACATTGTCCTAATTCTTGAATTATTGTCCAATACAAATAATATTATAGATAATTTCAGTATCTAGAACACTATTACTAAGTAAACCACCAAAAATTTTCTCATAGGATGTGAGCAAACCATGGGTCATTATTGTCCAATACATGGTGGCTTGTTGTTTTCTCACTATGTTTAAGTATACTAGTGGCACATCAAATTGAGATCAGCCTTTAGAAAGTAGTAACAAGTCTATTTCTTGAATTTATCGAATAAGTCAATTAATCTTCGAGACAATTCACGTTTCGTGTTTTTATAAATAGAGATTTAGGTTTGGAAGAGTTTGGACAAATCAATTCAAATTCCTTCCAAAAAATCAACCAACCATGCCTTTAGAATTTGTCATTTAATCACCTAAATCTCCTGATATTTAAAATATTACACACAAACTCGTTGAGTTTTGTACGCGCATAATACATAGACCTCTGTCATTAATATCCGTTATTATATCTGTTAGTAAATTATATTCAGACTCCTAAAATTTGAAGCGTATAATATTTAGATCTCTCAAGTTTAAAATATTACACTTAAACAAAAAATACTTCAGTTAAAAATAAAATATCAAATATTTTAAATTTTTCAACCAAAAATCATGTTCAATTATGTCATTTATTGAAATTAAATTAAAAAAATCAATTTTTTCTTAAAAAATTTATAATTTCTACTATTGATGCAAAAAATTTGAACGACTTTTACGTTTGTTGGGCTTCGATCACCTGAAAAAAAAGTTAGAAACTAGAGAGGAGTTCCGGGGCAGGCTCTCCGATACCTAAGTCACTAACTAACTCCAATGTATGAAGTGCATTTAGAAGTTAGGAGTGACATACCTGAAACATCAATGGAGCTCTATTAATAAGAATTCTGACAGTTTGAATTGCGCAGAGATAATAATTGAAGATCTAGTCAATCACAAAAAGATAAGAATTATGTCCTTATCTTTCTACATTGATTTGATGTTATCCTTGCAATTAAATTTAGCTTATACATAATATGTAGAATTCTATTCAAATTAGAACTCTTTGATAGGATGAGTTGAACTTTGACTAAATGGACTTTTTACCTTGGATCAATTTTTTTCATCATCAAGTACGACCATATGAAATAAACCTAATCAACATATTTACATATTCTATTTTATCATTAATTAACATAAAAACCAAATAAAATTCTAATTTTTTTAGGAATAAATAGTAATCAATATAAATATATTAAAGAACTCAATTTAATATTTATTTGCATACAATTATACTGTCTATTAGAATAAAACTAAAAAACCAAACAAGATGTCAAATTATAATTGACATAATACCTATTATCTTTAATTAGGATAATTTGATCGTTTAATAGATTATGTTAATTTCGTAACTAATAAAGGGTCTAAGTATAATATATCAAATTTGAGAAATATAAGTCTTACACGCCTACAAACTTCAAATTTCAAGGAATCTGGGTGTAATTTATTAATAGCTGTACTAACGGACATTAAAGGCAAGGGTTTAAATGTTACACGTACAAATTTCAAAGAATTTATATATAATATTTTAAATATTAAAAAATTAAAAAAATTAAATAAAAAATATCAGAAGGTTTGAATGTAATTTTCCCTTCAACAATTGCCGGCCTTTTGTATGAGTTTACTCGTAAAAGTGGATTCGTATGGCAGTATGGAGCTTGACGGGACGGTCAGATTCGTTATAAGTTCAGCTAATTGTTTAGAGGAAGACTTTATACGCGCGCGCGCGCGCGCGCACACACACATATATATATATATGTGTGTGTGATATATACATATATATATATATATATATATATATATATATATATATATATATTGGGGGAGGGCGAGGGAGAGGGGAAGGGAAAAAAGAATTAAGCTCTCAATCTAAATTAAAAGTCTTCACGTGACCGAAAAAACTATTAGACCAAAAGTCCACTGATATTTAGAGGAAGATTCATCGTACATTCAAGAACTAAATTAATGGGTATTGTACTGATATTCAGGGGCGGAGCTAAAAATTTATACGAGAATAAGAATTAATTACAAGTAGGGGCGGAGGCAGAAAGTCATGCCAGGGTGGCCACAAATATTTCAGCAAACAATTTTTTTTTTTACGATCAATTGAAATAGGACAATAATTTATATTTAATTACATCCTATTTAATACTTAAAAGTTTATTAAACCCAACATGTCAAAATTTGGTAAGTTTAGTATATACAAACGGCACCAATTTTTTTTTTTTTACAAAATATAAGCTAATTAAAATCATTTCGTATTGACTCCAGCAAATTTTGATACTTTGAAACCGTTGCATAACAATTTTATTATTCGTTTTATACACCATTATTTTATCACTTTAGTATTTATAATTCATTCGATTAATTATGCAATTCAGTGTGCACTCTATAATTTTTACAATAATTAACAAAATAAATGTTAAAATAACAAGTAAACTAGCGAATAAATATATGATATATTTTTTAGTCTTAAAAAGTATAAAATGATTCTGGTATATTCAAAATTTATCTAGATAGATACATAACATGTCTAAAATATGTCAAAAAATTCATATTTATTTGATATAAAGTGTATACTAATTGATGTGCCAAAAAAATAAGGTGAACATAATTAAAAATATTGAAAAAATACTTTAAATACATATAGGTAATATTAAAAAAAAAAATTGAGGATGGATATGTGCCCCCCCGGGCATATGCTGGCTCCGGCTATGCTATTTACTAAACCCATTAATTGTGCAATGAACGACAAAAAAACCGAAGGAACTGAGAGATGAGCTTTACTTTGTTTCTTCTGATTGGACAGCTAGGAGTGAGTGAGTCAAAGAGAGAGAGAAAAAAAAAAAGATAACTAATAAGATAAGTGTTACTCATGTCTGTCAATTGGGCCAAAAATTTTATTTTTTAATGGTGGGCCAAAAGTTTATTTTTTTTAATAAGTTTGGGTGAATTGTGATAGGTCAAAGATTTGATTTTTTAATAAATTTTGATAGATAGTGGTAGGCTCAAATTTTTTTGTTTTAAATGAGTTTAATTTTTTAATTTATTTGAGTAAATAATATGGGCCTAACATTTTTATCTTGAATTTTGAGTGGGCACAAATAATATATTATATAAATATATAACATATATACCTAACTAATAAAAAAGAAAAATTTGAAGGCGGGGGGGACTTGCCCACCCTTGATTACAAGTTTTAACTTTTGGTTTCCTACCTATTAAATAAATGATATATATAACTCTTTTAAATCATATATAACACCTAAAAATTGATGAACACCTCCTTTTACATATAGTAATAATTCTGACTCGGATTTTTTTAAAATAAAATATTTTTATTGTTTCAAATAATTCATAAAGAGAACGAGTAAAAAGCAAATATAAGTACAAATACAAAAAAAAATAAAAAATCTAAGCAATATAAAAAAAGATGCAACACAATTTCAAAGAATTATAGATAGTTTTGGGTTGAGAATTGTCCAAAAATAGTTGTCCATGTCCATGATTGTTTTGAGTGGGCATAACATATATTACATGTGGTGGTAAAAAATTAAAAATTGGCCAAGGCAAGGAGTTAGTGGGCTCAAAGCTTTGAACTGAGAGAGGATGACTTAGAGGCCTCAAAGCTTTATCCTGATTACAAATACACTTCAGTTGATGACCTCCTCAACATCTGTTTGGTCAATCCTCCCAAAACCAAACTCCCTAAATTTGGCTGATCAGCTCTTGTGTTCTTTTAAGTTTCTATCACTCAATACCTAGTTTGTTTCCTTCAAGCATGAAAAATAATGTCTTGTTATAAGATCATAATGTTCACTTTATCTTGAAAGGTTCTAAATTTTTATTTTTCTCCTTAAAAGGCTGAATGCTTCACATCGTTGCTATTATTTAAAGAAATTCAAGATGTAATGTGAAACGTTTATTTAGAAGTTTTTATATGAGAAAGTATCAATGATCCTAATGTTTTACGAGCACTGCGATTATGCAAAAGCTTCAATGTGAATTTGCAATGTGCTTGTTAAGAACCGCTATATATTCTTATAAATGTTAATGGGTTTCCTAAAATTACAAGAAGTTGTGACTTTGGTTTAGTATTTGATTTGAAATCTCATGGTATTGCAGCCTCTATGTGATTTTCTTGTAAAGGGGCTGAATTTTGGTTTGTATGTCTTAAAACTTCAACTCAAAAGCTGTTGAGGGTCCGGCTCCTCTACGGTAAACACCAAACCGCATGATAGGCAGTTAAGTGGAATGACACCGTTTTGGGTGTTTTTTGCAATTTTTTTTAATAGTCCTTACCAAAAACGACATCATTTTTGGTCTTTCAAATCCACCTCTGAAATCCATTCTCTTTCCTCCCGGTTCCTACCTTCGACTTCGTCAAACGATCGCTGCTCCCATTAATTAGACTAAGGCGCTTCCTCTCTCACTCTGGGTAGACGCTCTCTTTATACAAAAGGTAAAAACTTTTCACACAAAAGCTTAACCTTAGATTCTTATTCATACAAAAACCCATCTATTTTATTTTTCTTTGATTTTTTCAAATAGTTGTGAATGTTGTCTGGTAATGAAATAGCAGCTATTAGAAGTATAATTTATGGGTGCTTTCTTGGTAAAAAATTGTAGTTTATTTTACGGCTTCTTGTTGTTGTACTCCAAGTTGCATTGTGGAATTCCGAAATTTTTAGTTAAATTTTTAAAGATGTAAGTTTGAGCTATAAATTCTGCTTGAGATTTGTTAGGGTTGCTTTTGTTTCTCTGGGTAAATATTGCGGCTGCGGTTATTAGACATGTATGATGTTCAAGAACTCTTGGGCCGATATTAAAGTTGGTGATTTGGGGTTTCCTTAAGCACAGTACAACAATTCTTGTATCCTGTTTTGGACGGAGAGCTACATGCTTCAATTGTTAGTGAATCTATGATACTGATTGTAGTAGGAGTCATAATGCTGGGAGCATGCTTGTTAGTGAATATATGACACTGATTGTAGTTGGTGATTTTGGGTTTCCTTAAGCACAGTGCAAAAACTTTTCACTCCAAGCTTTTTGCAATATTGATTAATAATAATTAGCTACATAATGCTTCAATTGTTAGTGAATAATTTAGTTAAGACTCTCATAGGATTGGTAATTTAATAGTTTTGCATTGATATATGATACTGATTGAGTATGCTGGGAGTATGTATGATAGTTTTTTAATAGTTTTCCATTGATATATGATACTGATTGTAGTAGGAGTCATAATGCCGGGAGTATGCATGATGTGTTAGTGTGGCCACACCATGTATATGGATTCAAGAACTAAATGAAGAATGAATGATACGAACGAAATCTGGTTTTGATACGGTACCGTCATTTGACGAAGAAGAAGCGGGAGAAAAAGGGATATTTGATTTTGAGATGAAGAGGGATATCTGAGTAATTCAACGTGCTAGCATGGCTATCGTACTGTTCGATTTAATCCATATTTGTGGCCTTCTGGTCAACAGGTATCAATCTGCATGTAACATCTTTCCTGCAGTTGACGGAGAAGGAGGGAGAAGCTAGATACAACTGACGAAGAAGAGGGAGAATGAACTCTGTTTGACGAAGAAGTGGGAGAGAAGAATTTTTTTTTTTTTCTGATTTTGATATGCCCAGTACAGAAACGACGTTGTTTCTGTCCAGTTTTTTTTTTAAAAAAAAAATCCAAAAAAGGCTAAAAAACAGTAGCGTTTTATTAAACCGCATATGATGTGGTTGGTGTTTACCGCAGAGGAGCCGCACCCAGCTGTTGGACATACGGTATTTGGGAATCTATGTTTGGTTTGGTTTGGTTTCACAGAACCATTTGAAAGACAATATAAGAGAGCCCCATAATATATAAGATGGTTGAGGAAACAACTAATCACACTTTGCACTCTGAAATATTCTTTGATTCTCAAATTGTACTCTCAAAAATTAAAAATTTCAATTTACAAACTCAGTATCATAAAAAGGCACGCAACTTGCAAGTGCCATTGCAAATCTCAATGACGTCATAGTTAAACCCAAGTCAATACCACTTTCAGATGCAAACCATCGTGTGTTTCGTTTTCAGACAAAAAACTAAATGGTAACTTGATTTGCCCTTAAGGAAATGTTGAGCGGAAGAAGTTGTTGATAGCTATAGCTACGAGCAGATTGTCGTTTTTGGTAAAAACATACATCCACGTCCATAGGAAATGTTGTTTCACTACATCAGAATCTCAATGCGGCTACAATTTGTCTACAGGCTGCAGTTAATAACCTTAATCTTGGTCCAATTCGTAAACGTAGTCCCATTGGGCAAGGCTCCACTTCAATACGTTCCGCTTATGTGCCACCAATTTGTCACGCTGTGCTCTGCTTCTCCAACTGACCCACTATCTTTTGGGTCTAGGTTAATACGAATCACCCACAATTTTTAACAATTAACATGCTAATGAAGTGAATTTAATCATTAATTGTTGAGTATGGAATAAAGTGGAATTAGTCACTAATGAATTGATATAGAAATAGGTGTGTTTAATAATTTTACATTAAGTAATTTAATGAGGGTGCAAATAAATATTTGTGGGGTGGAACTCTCTTAGAAATAAGAACCCTATAAAGTGTCATGCTTTCAAATGGGCGCATAAATTTCACGTAAATATAAAAATTTTAAGCCCTCTGGTTTAGATGCCCTATCATTAAGAGTGGGTACATCACTTGGAGAAGTTCTATACTAATGAGACAACATTTGGTATGAGACAAATCTAACTAAAAACCTTTAGTAAGCATAAGGTATGGATTCAAAGGTTTCATTATGAAAAATATGTATATAATAAAGTATAATACAATTCAAATCTAAAAAATAAACAAAATGACTTTTACCTTTCGTAGTAGTTAGTATATCTCTAAATTTTATTTTATAGCTAATCCGACAATTAATATTAACTTCCCAAATTAATATGTATGTCAATAAGAGTGTGTTTGAGTTGATTTTTTAAATGTGATTCTTAAACTTATAATTTCTCTTAAGTATTTTAAAAAAAATATTGTGTTTGAAACTGTCCTACTACTATCACTACAATCACCACCCCCACCGCCCCACCATTACCACTACCATGACCATCGCCGCCACGCCACCACCCCCACTGCCGCTGCCACCACCCTACCACCAACATTCCCATCGCCCCCCACCACCACCACTACCACTACCACTACCACCACCGTCGCTACCCTACAACCACCTCTACCACAACATCCACCACCATCCCTACCACCATCACCACTTCCAGCATCACAACCATCGCCGTCACCCTATTACCACCTCTGCCACCACCACCACCACCACCACCACCGTTGCTACTACCACTGTCACCACCCCACCACCACCACACCCATTATTGTCACCCTACCACCACCACCACTACTACCACTATCACTACTACTACCAGCATCACTATCACTATCTTTACCGTTTCCACCCCACTACCACCTCTGTCATAACAACTACCACCACCGACACCACCACTGTCGTCACCCCACCACCACTATCACCACCCCCCACCACTGTCATCATCGTCATTGTCTCACCATCACCCCTACCACTACTATCCCCGTCGGTTCACCACCATCCCCACAACCACCAGCACTACCACTACCACCACCACCCCACCAACACTACCACTGCCGCCATCCACCACCACCACAACCACCATCATCGTCACCCTCCACCGATTACTACCATCGTCGCCCACTGCTACCACCCACCACAATCGTCATCTTTTTATAATATTTATTATCACTAACACCATCATCCCATTACCACAGTTGCCTACCGTCAACACCCACTACCATAACCCACCACCATCCGTCGTCGCTCATCATCGCTACCAGTCACTGTCCCACCCCCACCACAGCTACCACCACCACCTATCATCACCCTCCATTGCAGCCAGCCACTGTCACCCCACCCTCACCACACCTATCACCACTAACACTATCGTCATTACCACTCATCATATTGTTACCTAGAAGCACACGTCGTCGCCCACTACCACTATTGTCACTATCCACCACCTCTGCCACCACCATCATCGCCCCACCACCACCATTGTCAGCCATTTTCACCGTCGATCACAACCAACATTGCCAACCACTATCACCATCGCCCACCACCATTCACACCCACCACCACAATTGTCGTCACCCATGACTGCCACTACCACCATCATCACTCAAAATTCACCACTACAATCATAGTTTGTGACCCATGGTTGCCACCACCACTGTGGTCATCACCACCCACCACAATCATCACCATTTTGCCTGCTAAAAGTCCCAAAATGAGGGAAAGTTTTAAGGAATAACCCTTGCGCACCAAAGCTGGAAAAATCCTTTCCCCTTTCTCTAATAATAAGGTAAGGCTATGAAGTATCTTAGAGTATGAAATTTTGTTTTTTAGCTGGGTCGAGGACTCTTGCTATTGTTTGGCCTGGAACAACTGTATTTAGTATTAGTAAAGAAAAAGGGGCTTTTTCGAAAGCATATCAACCACCACCATTGTCGTTCACTAGTACTACCACTGCTTACCTCCACTATATTCGATGCTTAAATTTATTTCTTTTTTTTCTATTTTTATGATTTGATTTTAAGTGTGAATATAAATATATTTATTGTGGACTATTTTTTCTAGTATTTTGTGCCTTTAGGCACAAGATATAACTAGTGCACCTATATGACAAAAGAGAAAAAAATATTAAGAAAGTTAAAGAGGGCCAAGGAGGTGGGTACAACTGAAAGAGTAATACTATAGAGACCTAATTTAAGGACCTAATCATGTACTTAATTCAATGCACTTGTTGAATTAGTTATGAGTTCTAATGATGAAACCAACTTGTAATTCAATGGCTATACCAATAGCATTTTTCAAATTGAACAGATGAAATGAATGGACAAGATTGCAAAGGACAACTTCAAGGCATATATATGTGTGTGTGTGTGAGAGAGAGAGAGAGAGATCTTGTCATAAGGAACACATGGACAGGTATTGACTGGCCCCTAGTTCTCATATTCATGCATGGTTTGATGTATATGGAGGGGAAGGGACAAGGACTGTACAGAAAAGAAAGACAACCCTATATAATTGTGGCAAAAATGCATGGCAAGCCAAGTATACTATAGTTGAGGCCCTTTCCACAATCTGAATTTACACAAATGAAATAAGCCAAGTAATTAAACTTATTGGGAATGACCGAAACAAAAATAAACGTGTAAGGTGGTCTTTTTCGCTTGCAAGTGGTTCAAATTTAACACTGATGATTGCTTTAAAGAAACCCCAACTCAGTAAGAGTTTGAGGAATTATAAAAAATAATCACGGTCATTTAAAAGTGGGTATTATGGTAGAATCCATCAAACTACAGTACCAAAGCGAAATTATAATCAACTACAAAAGGTTTATTAACTTGGAGTTTGGTAAAAAGAAAGAAATGTCAAGAAATTCGTGGTGGTAACAGTTGCCCTCCAAGCTCACAGCCTACTCTCCAACTCTAAAGTGATATAGCCCACCCGAACAAAGCACTATGATCAAAAATTGAAAGCTAGCTTAACTCTTGTAGGAGGACTAGGCTATGGAATCTGCAGTAAAATGAAAAACAAATTTTATTTTTTTTCCAAGTGTAGATCTTACTTTAATATAATTCTGTCTATAATTGTGACAATAAGTAAAGTGAAAATATAAAATAATTTATCTTTACACAGTATTCACGTTTCCACTAAAAGAAAAAAATTAAGTATGATATCAAAAAATAATTTTTTAATACCGTAGTCTAACCTTTGTATGAGATCAACTTGTTGTAAGAAAGGTTTATTCTGACTTCCACAATACCCAAATAACAAAAAAACGAAAAAACCAACACGAACTTAAAGGACACATAGGAGCAATTGAATCACAACGGTAGTTCAAATAGTAATAGAGACGAAATGTAAATTTGGACGTCTTAAGTTTGAATTTTAATAATTCGTTAAGGACAGACCATGAGGGATTATTCCTCATGAATTTCTTAGTCCCGACGTTGATGTCTACCTTTAACCAAATTTAAGAAAGAATTAATTAAGGTGCGCATAAACTCACCGTTAAATTAAAAAAAAAAACACAGGAGCAATTCCGCAATAGATTTATATACGTTTAAAAAGACAGTTTGATTTATATACTTCCCATGTTTTTACATATGCATGGTATGAACAAACTGTCATTGCCACATTAAGCCACGTTAAGCTACATGGTTCTTCGTCTCACCAAAGCTCCCTGCAGAATCTGAAGAAATAGACCCACCTGGGTGGATCTTATTGCTCTTACCACCTTTACCATCCTCAACTTTTCTCTCTCCACCACCATCCTCCACTTCTCTTCCTTTCTCCTCCTCCATTCTCTTCATTTTTTCCTTCTGCCGGTTCTGCTGCACGTAAACATGAGCAAAACTAGCTCCGGTGGACGACATTCTCGGAAAGTCTGATGTGAAAGCAATCGTTGGTCAGATACCGATCGAGGAGTATGGTGGCAACGCAGAACC